CTCGCCATCACCATTAACCGATAAAATGAGTAAAACAAAAATAAATGAAATTTTATTATTTTTTATGTAATAAAACATAAGAATTTAAATATCAAGCTCATAAATTCACTCATTAGTTTAAAACAAGCTGTTTAATGAATTAAATATTGATTAGTAAATACATATCCATGATAGCAAAGCTCTATTTTGTAACTTATCTCAAACAAGCTGTTCCGAGCTGGCCCATTACATAATACATCGAGACATACAATAAAACAAAAGCAAGAGAAAGAACAAAATCAAGTCAATTTTTTTTTTTAACCAAAAGCAAATTTTTTTAAAAAAGTCCGATAAAGCATACGACAAAAGCACAAAAATAGGCCAATAAAATTAAAAGTACAGTCATAGGATTACAATTCTCGTAAGGGCCAAAAATCTGAAAACATGTAAGTTAGACGGACTCAGACCGCCACCTGGTTGCCAAACATGAGCCATCCAAAGAGGAATAGAAGGAAGCATCCAAAAACCGAAATCTAGCAAAACTGAAACCTCCGTCAAGGTTGCCCACCAAGCCAAGGCCATCCAAGGCGCACGCAAGAAACCTGCTTCATCATTGTCCAGACCCCAATTCTATGCCGCACTTAATGCAAATCCAAAAAAAATCAACAAAGCCAAAGCCAGGCAAAGACCAAAAGGAAAAATCATTTCTTTTTGACCTTACGATTTCTAGACTTATCATTCTTTTTAAGAAAACCTTCATCTGTAATTAGAAGAGCACCCATAGCTAACTCATTAGTCTCCTCCTTAGCGTCTGAATAAAAACCCTCACTGAGATCTAACCAATCGCATTGCTCCAAAGTGCTACCAGCTGCAAGATGAGCCAACATAATAGTACTAGAGACAAAAGCTAAAGGAAGAACAACCAAATGTCCCTTAACACCATCAGACTCCACCCCAATGCTCACAACATCAGAAAAACCCAGCCCCTCCGAAGAACGATCACCCCCTGAACCATGACCCGCAGGAAAGTCATTCCCAGAATCAACAGACAGAGGAATAACACCCTCATTAACGTCTCCAATAGGATCAGGAATACCACTAGGACAAACTACCATATTAGTTAAGCAATTGTAAGGTTCATCAATCTCATCAATATTAGAATCAGGAGCTACATTCTTGTCACTCTTCAAAGGAGAAATCGAAACCAACACAGCATTAGAATCCAACTTCAAAACTAAATCATTGGCCTCAACAGACACAACAGTATCCAACTCCATAGCTAATTCATTCACACCAGAGTCCTCACAAACAAGGCCAACAGAGGCCACAATCACAGGTTCAGACGAAACCTCCGCAAGGCCATAAAGCACACGGAGGACTTCCCCACCCTCACACAACACACTATTAACTTTAATAGTAGGCAAAGGCAAAGAAGATGAAGAGCCAAGATAAGGATGCAAAATTTGACTATCAACCTTTGAATGACCCAAAGAATAGCAATGCGTACAATAAGCAAGGAAATCTTCCAAAATCACAAACTGCACGTAACCTATATTATTTGGGCCAATTCAAATTTTACCAGGGAATTGTTTGGTCACATCTAGTTCAATCAAAATGCAAGCAATGGACGGACGCGAACCAAAAGAAGTCGCGTTATCAATCTTTAATGGTTTACCGAAAATGAAGCCAAGGCCATGAAGAATACGCGGAGCGAAAAGGTGAGGCTGATGATTAGGAAAAGAGATCCAAATAGGGATGCCAGATGATTCAACCTCAATGTCCAATGAAGGAGTCCATTTAATCACTTTCATGTAACAATTAATCATAAAATAAGACCAATGAGAAAAAACCCTACAGTAATCCATATCGTTAAAGAGTTTAATCAAAATATTTCGTTGGTTTAAAACAGTAACATAACAATCACCATTAAGTTTGAGGTTGAAGAAGAAATTTCTAATATCATCAAAAGATGGCCTCTGGCCAGGGAATTTACCAACAAGGGCGAATTGAAAAGGAACAACAAGAGAGAGGATGTCTACTTCCGAAATCCATAAGGCTGGCATACCCCGGTGGAAAGAAACTTTAAGGTCAGGAAAAGAGACGGAAGAAGGAGACACACCAGATAAAGAATCTTTAAAAGAAAGAGAGGAAGATACATTCAAAAAATCAGGATCTCTAAATCGGGGAGGCGCCATAAATCTGAAAAAAAAAAAAAAAGAAAAGAAGAAGGAACTTCCCTGAAGCACATGAGGTGCACAGCCAGGCGAGAGTGAGGACGGAGTAAAACAGCACATTCAGGTGCGATAAAGAGCCGCAAGAGGCAGCTAGGGCAAAGCTCTAGTACACCCCAGAGGCAACGAAAGAGAAACCATCAAGGGGATGGTATTTACGGAGGAGCTTTAATTTGGGACACCTTAGAGATGAATATAGGGGTTTTATGTCAAATTTTTTATTTTTTATTTTTTAACTAACAATATTCCATTAAAGGAAAAAGATACAATAAAAGACCACCCTGGACTACATCAATAAAATTATAATGAAAGAAAAAAGAAGCAAGTCAAATTGATAAATGGATGGGGAACATCAGAAATATGCAGACTCAGACCAACACTTGGTTGCCAGAATGGGGCCATCCATGGGGGAGAACATAATCCAAAACGAGAAGTAGCCAAATCACTAAAACGAGCCACCTAGGTTGCCAACCAACCTTGGCCATCAACGACGCTTGCAACAAAACTGCTTCCTCATCGTCCATTCCGAATCGAACCGAACTAAGCAACCAAAGCAATAAAAACTAGAAAAAACACACAAGAAGAAAATTGTCTTTTCTTGGATTTTTGTTTACGTTGCGAAATAAACTTATCAAGCGAACCCGTTTCGATATTTGTATTAACCTCCCCACTGGCAATCGACATGTCATCATGCAACTAATCACATTGCCACCTATCCGAATGGGAAAACAAATTAGCATTTGAGATGACCGAAGTAGGCACCTCCATAAGGGGCACCTCCACACCTGCCTCCCCAACAAAAGCAACAGCTTGCTCACTAGACTTGCCAACAGTCAAAACCCCATCCTCTACGTAACTGGGACTTTCATTAAAATTCACACAACAGTTGATATCTGACACAGCTACAGTGGGAAGAACCACATTAGGGGAAACGACATCATCCACACCACCATACACCACCAATTCATCATCAACACAATAAGCAGTGACATTAACAACATGAGAGGGGACATGAGAAGATCGAACCAACCTGACATTAATAGGGGAATCCAGCACAACAGCAAATTCAACCACCACAATGGGAGACCCTCCCAAAGATGGCAAAACAGGAGAAACTGTAACAGTAGAAACATGATAATTAGAAGGCACAGGCAAACCATTCACAGCAGAATGAACACCAATAATATCGGCTGGAGCCACAGGGATCGATGGGATCACCACAGGCCACCCTCCCCCATCGAATTAGAAGATAGAGGCAAGGCAGATGAATCAAGATTAGGGTGAAGAATCCTACAACCAGCCTTCGAATGCCCAAAAGGAAACTCTTCAAAAACCACATATTGAACATATCCAATGTTATCCGGGCCAATCCAAATGTTGTCAGGGTACTGTTTGGGCACATCTAGTTCAATCAAAATGCACGCAATAGATGGACATGAACCGTGGAGGTCGCATTATCAGTTTTCAAGGGTTTACCAAAGACCGAGCCTAAGCCATGAAGAATAAGCGGGGCGAACGAATGAGGCCAAAGGTTAGGAAAGGAAATCCAGATGGGGATGACTAGCGATTAAATCTCAATATCCAAGGTAGGTGGCCATTTTATCAATTTAATATAACAATTACTTACAAAATACGACTTATGAGCAAAGACTCTACAGTAATCCAAATCATTAAAGAGCTTAATCAACATGTTCTGTTGGTTAAGGACAATGACAGAAACATCGCCATTTAGCTTAAGCTTGAAAAAGAAATTCCTAATGGCATCAAGGGATGGCCTTCGGCCAGGGAATTTTCCAACCAGAGCAAATTCGAATGGAGCGGCTAGAGACTGGATATCTGCCTCCGAAATCCACATAGATGGCAAACCTCTATGCGAAGAAATCTTAAGTTCAAGAAAGACAATGAAAGAAGGCAAAGAACCAGAAAGAGTATCCTTAAACGAAAGAGAAGAGGATTCAACCAAAAAATCAGGATCCCTAAAACGGGGAGGCGCCATAAAACCAGAAAAAAGAAAACGATGGTGAAAATAGCAGAATAATAAGGAGAATGAACTTCTTTGAGGCACTCGAGGAGAAGCACCCAGCACAAAATGCGAAGAAGAGGCCACAAGGGGTAGTTAGGGCGATGCCCTAACACACTCCCGGAGAGCGAGAGAGAAACATCGTGAAAATAAGTCAAATTTTTTTTTTTATTAATTTTGGCATTTGGGCCAATTAGGGCAAACTCATGCACACAACAGATACAAAAGCTTCAAACTCAAGACCTCTTAGTAAATAGCCGAAGCTCTCAACCAACATATCAAAGTGATTGAGGCTTCGTTTGGGACGGCTTTTTAATGCTTCTTAAAGCAATTTTTTAATACCAAAATTAAAAATTTTGTACTTCAAAGCTGCTTTAAGAAGCAACAAAATCCCAAACAAAACTTAAGTTACATAAACCATGCCAACTATGACTTTAACATTCTAGAAATTTTGACCCACAAATCAAACCGTTGTGGAATGTTGTTGCAGCACATTGCAATCACAGCGGTCGTGCAATGATTTTAAAATTTAGTCAAGAAAATTTGTGGTAGGTAAAACCATCAAGAAAGGATTAATTTTGTGTTGCGATAGCCTTATTTTTTTTTATGGTGAATTAAGTTATTAAACAAATATAATAATGTAATATTATTTATCATTGTAATTTAGTTTTATTATCTTATATTTTAAATTTCTATTCCTTTATAAAGGCAAAACATAGAATACAAAGTGCTGTATTAACAATTTTTCTTCTTTACTACGGAAGGAAGCGATGAGCTGCAGAATTCACCCATCCGATCTCGGCGCCGGCGTCTGCGCCTGCTGCCTACGCGAACGACTTTCCAACCTCTTTGCCGCTCACCCAGATAATGGTGCCGCGCCATCACCGGCGATCAAACAGAAGCCGGAGCCCTGCGCTGCCCCGCTACTCTGTTCTCGATCCGGACCTCACGACTCCTTCGCCGCCGATGACTGTCACGGAAACCGCAAACCATGCCCCAATAAGGCGATATCCAATTCTATCGTTCCCAAACCCTCGGTATCTAATTCATGGCACTCGGCACTAATTCTATGGCAGAGGAAGAAGAATAAGAAGAAATCGACGCAGACCTCGCCGGGCGCTGAGGAATTCTCCCGTGGGAGAACGAAGAAGCCGCACATACGGCCGGTGAACGCAAGAGGAATGTCTCCGGCGTCGATTGACCAAACGGAAGAGGAAGACGGACGTCGTCTCTCTGCGAATTCGTCATTGAGACGAAAAGCACAACGGCAACAGAGTCCCTGCAAGTTATCTAGTTATGCGCTGTGCCTGAACCCGCTAATGCGGCCGAGTCCCGGCAATCAACGGAACCATGCTTTAGAGACAGTGTTCACCGGCGAGCCCCGGGGAACCTTTAATCCGCGTTGCAGCGGGGCCGGAGCAGCTGTCCCTGACGCCTGCTCCGGTCTGGTGCCGAATCGGTCGAGGAAGCTTGTGGATTTGGGTAAGGTGTGGTGACGATGATATTTCCTTGCAGAATTTTATTTTGTGCTCTCCTGTAAATTGTTTTTTTTTTTTTTTTTTTTTTTTACTTTTAAGTTAATAAGTGTGTGTATATATGTGAGTTTCAAATTCAAGATCTTTTAGCTCATAGCCTAAACTTTTGAGTTGCATATCCTGTAAATTATTAAAAATAAAAATGTTTTGCTTTAAGATTTGTTGATTCCGAATATTTACATCGTTTAATAAAAGTTTTTCTTTTTGTTATGAAATTTTGTCTTAGATTTCACTTTATTTTATTTTATATTCAAAAGTTCTTAGATTTGCATTGAGATTAGTGATTTATATGATTTTTAAAATTGTATTAATATCAGAGTAAATTTAAAGACTTTGAAGCTATCATATTATGTTATGCATGGGGATATTATGAAAAAATTTTGTTTTTGTTTTTATGGTCATGAGCTAAGGTGTAGGATTGTAGGAAATGTTATATTTAAGAAAAGTAAGCAAATTACATAATATTTAATGCTAATTTATTATGAAATGAATAGCTTGGCTCAATCATACTAAAAGTTATTCTTATTTTGCTAAGTTTGAGCAAGTTTTCACATATATTTGCCTCTTGCTTTCTAGGATTAAGACTGCATGTTTATAGGCTTCGTTGGGATATCATTCTTATGATTTCTTAAAGCTACTTTTTTCTTATTTTGTAAAGCAGTTTTCTAGTATCAACCGATTTAAAAAAATAGTAATTTTCGTTGCAAATAACGATACGGCGCATCTCTATCATTAATTGCGGCGGAAATTTATGTCGCAATTAATGATGTAAAGTGCGGCGGATGCAGCCGTCATTAGACCGCCTCACATTGCGGTGGTATTTTCGCCATAAATTCACCGTTGTTTGAGGCAGAATTTGTGCCGACTTTCTAATACGATCACGTTGATTTTTAGAGTTTAAATCCATCGTAAATCCGCAGCAAAATATTTGCGATTGATTATATCCGGTGTAAATATTTTTCCGACGCAACTTTTAGCATTGGAATATAATCTGACACAAAGCTTATTTAGCGACAAATTTGGCTTGTTCTGCAACCAATTTTTTCGCCGGAAATTACTTACTTTTCCATAGTGTCGCCGGCGGTGACGGCTTGATGAACGCTCGACGATACTCGGATAGAGGTCTCTTAAATCTCTAGCCAAAGGTCCCAGCCTCCAAAGGTCCTCTTCTTGTGGAGAGTATGATTCTATTTATATATTTTAACAATTACATGCTTCATAAATATGGAGAAGATTCAAGACAGATTCGAAGTGTTTTATCAAATGACCCATATTAATTTCGTTGATCATAGATCTTTCGTTCTACGTTTAAGTGTCATATTGATGTCGAAATTGAGCGATATTGGGCTCGTTGGATTCGTCTCATCGAGATGCTTGATTCAACTTTAAGCATGCTATATTTGAGTATTATTTGGTCACCCAATTAATATTTTGAAGCTCCAAATATGCTTCAAACAAATGATTTGGGCCCATTTGAACTCGGATTTGGACCAATTTTGTTGTTGTTGCTCTCGGTTTGACTATAAGTTTACAAATATCGGAGTTTAGATGACCTCCAAATTTAATTTTGGAAGTTTCCATGTAAAATATGAATCAAGATTCATGCACGGTCTAGACGATTTTTGATGTTGTGTCATTAATATTGAGTAATTAAATCATATATGGGATATCATCCAGCTTAATGTCAAACATTTAGGCTTCGTTTGAGATGGATTTCTTACTGCTTTAATTTTTGTACTAAAAAATTGCTATAAGAAGCAATAAAAAAGCCGTCTCAAATAAAGTCTTAATAAATTTTTGTTGAATAATAAATAATTGTTAGTGTGAACATAAATAAACAAGTTGTAATATGTTTAACTGTATTCATATAACTTTTGAGCTTTCAAAAGAGTTCAAATATATTTAGTTACTGACTTGAATCTGATTAAATATATTGATAGTGTTCAATGTTATAGAAGTTATGAAGCTTTTGCTCCATTAATCATGCCAATGTAAAATTAAATCAAACTAATAAAAACTATAACCTTTAAGAAGCTCATAATTTTGATGTTTGCGCCTATTGAAACAGTAATAATTTAGCTTGAAATATCAACCAAAAAAATACTATCAATCAATTGATTGAGTAGAAATGTTGTCTTTGATCCTTATACCTTTATAAGAGGCCCAATCCAAGGTTTAAATCCTTGCAAAAAAATTAAAAAAAAAATCAAAATTATTGTGTTAGAAATTCATGACAATAAATATCGAAGTTTTACGTCTTAGCTTTTTATGAAAATTCAACATACATATATAATAGAAAATAATACAATAGACATCTAAATTTTTACATGAAAATTTTGAAAAGGGAAAAAAATCACGAGTTCTAGATTAGATGAAATAATATACTATGCAGATATATTAAAATTGATGCCTTCTCTCAATCGGAGAAGATTAGATTACATGTTTACATTTATGTAAATATGAGGGAGAATGTTGGTGATGCAATAAATAGATAATGTCAATAGGGCGATGATTGTTAGATAATGTTAGTTAGGCGAAAATGGTAGGGAGATGGAAGTCATATGACCATACTTGAGTAATGGCAATTAGGCAATAAAAGTCAGGCGACGCTGATCGAATAATAACAGTTGAGTGATGGAGGTCAAACAGTTATTGCCAAGCGATGGTGATGAAGAGATGACTGTCGAAAGATGGTAATTTAGCAATGGCAGTAAAATAATGGCAGACAGACATGGTGTTTTAGTTGATAGTTGTCGAATGACAACAATTTAGTGATATTTGTTAAACAATGGTAGTCAGAGGACGATAGTGGCTAGTGCTGATTGTGGGAATTGAATATCAAGATAAGCATTAGAGTTCTTCAAATCTCCAAGATCTCCACCATCTCTAAGTCTAACACTCTTTCATATTGAGAGTTTGTGTCAATTTATGGTATTTTTAAAGTTAATATTTTAATAAATTTAGTCAAAATTACATAAAACTTCATTAAACGCCTCATATTGAATCCTTTGATCATACAAAACTTATTTAGCATTTAAGTACTTCAATGGCCCTAAAAGTGAGAGATATTTGATTTGTTGGATTTGTCTTATGGAGCCATTCATTTTGATCATATTCATGCAAGATTCCATCTGGTCCTCCAATTAATATCTCAAAGTTTTTAACTATCACTCAAGTGTTTGATTTGGGTTTATTTGGACTCAAATTGAATCACATTTGATGTCGTTGGATTCATCTTGTCATGACACTCAATCTAACTATATGTTTGCTGAAATCGGATTTTGGATTATTTAAAAATTTAATTCTAAAAGTTTCTAATAAAAATATTGCATCATAATACATGCTGAACAAACTGAATTCTCTTTAAGGCATTTGAAAATTCTCTTTTGTTAATTTTAAAACTACAAAGTGAGTCTTTTCTTAATCTCTTTTAAAGCTTTCATTTAACAAAGACTTTGTAACTCTCCTAAAAAATTTATAATTTAACAATGATCTTATGTGAATGTCCATATTAAAAGTAGTAAATGATAGGCTAAAAACAATACATGATGTATGCATATTCCCTAAAATATATACTATTAGAAAACTAATAGCGGTGTTTTTATGAATTTTAGATCAATGATTAACAAGTTGTGATATTTTTAATTAAGTTACTCGCAATGAAAAAACATTCAATGTCATGAGCTTTTAGTGAGGCGAGGATATCTTAGAGTTAATGGGAATTTTTTTTTTCGGCTTTTTTGTTGGTACTATATCAGGTATGAAGAATTTGACTCCACCTTTCGCTACAAAAAAAGGGTCAATAGCGACCAAACAATAAAGACAAAAAGAAAATGGTCGATAAAGATGATTAATCATTCAATTTCTACAAAATGTATGTTGATGTTGCCTTGAATTTGGCTCGACCCTTATTTGTTCATATCCTTGATCGTCGTACGCTTCTCAGATATGTCGGGGGTCCCAGGTAGGGGTGTCAATATTTGACAAGACACGAAAATCCGATTCGGACCCGACTCGGAAAATCTGGGTTGAACCCGACCCGATTTCAAAACGGGTCGGGTTCGGGTTCCAGAAATTGACCCGTGTTTGACATTTTTAAAAATTATATTTATTTGTGTAATTTATTTGATAGTTTAATATTTTGTATAATTTGTATATTGTAATTAACAAATTAGTTTTGATTCTTAAATAAAATTTTTATTTATACAAATTTCTGTTTATAATTTTCTGTGTTTGTGTTTTTGATTTTTTTTTTGGAAAATAAATCGGGTTAGCGGGTCATTCCGGGTTGACCCGAACCCGATTCGGGTCGGGTTCGGGTCCTGATTATTGACCCGTATCCATTACCGGGTCGGGTTCGGGTCAACCCGTTTAGCTTCGGGTCGGTTCGGGTTCGACACGAACCCGACCCGTGACCCGATTTTGACACCCCTAATTACAAGGTTGCCTTATGTCGTGATCTCAAATCCATTGGTGCTGTAGAGAATTGAAAATCATATAATATGAATTATGAGCCTCTTGATTTATAAGTAAAAGAAGAGAATGACATATAGAGGTCATAAGTTCAAGGTCTTGATTGAACTCACAAGTTAAAGGCATATAGAGTGTTTGATTGGCTTGGGGCAATTGCAATCGATCAATTGGTATGTTTCTAGATTTTCTTTTAGAGTTTTATTTATTTTCTTGTATTTTAACACAAATTTAAAAAAAAAATATTGATTTTGTTTGATACTTAACTTTTTTTTTTAATAATCCAAATGTTTTAAATAATTAAAAAAATCTTCTATAGCCCATCTACCTATGCTAAAACTCTGCAAACCCTAATTCGCATCCCCATCTCAGAAATATCATTTGCGAGAAGAGGACTTGGTGTACTTGGAATTTCGTCTGTTTTCCTTTTTTTTTCCTCCTTGGATGGCCAAAGCCAGGCAACTAGGTGGCGGTCTGAGTCATCCTCACCT